AAAAAAGTTTGGCGACCCCTGCTCTAGATTAATGTTTCTCAATCGCATAGAATTTTTAACAATCTGAAAAAATTGCATCTCGATGAAAATCAATGAAATTTTAGAAAATATTTAATGAAGAAAATCGATGAAATTTTAGAAAATATTTAATAAAACGTTATAAACGTTTTATTAAATAGAATAGAATAAACGTTTTCATTGACAATGAAATTTTAAAGAATTTCTTAGTTGTCAATTTTAAACGTCATCTTATGATCTAGGAATTTATTTATGTTGCATTATTTATTATTAGTCTATTATTTTTTTAAATCTGTTTTTCTTTCATTATTAAGCTGATTTGATTCTACTTGATTTACTTTAATGATTATAAAATTATGTAAAAAATAGTCACACAGTTGATTTTTACTTTCCTGGCTGCTATATATAACAGAGGGAAAGTATGCCGATCGGTCAAAAAATGATCCCCAGATTTTCACATTTTTGGATTCAGGGGACCTTGAAACGTCGAGAAACGAAAAAAAATTCGAGGGTAATTTCTGTATGTATAGATGTTAGTGTGTGTTTGGGGGGTAAATTTTGTAGGGAGGTTTAGGTATTTGGGGAATTGATGCTATTAAATTTTGGTGATTAAAGGTCGAAGGACTCGTGTGTATGTATCTCCAGCAAAGTCAGACTTAATAACGATTAACTCGTTATTAGCATTTACAACTTTTTATAAAACCCATCCCTACTCTCAAAATTAAGCTTTTTGCCATTTTATAATACTGTAGTTAAAAATATAAAAAATTTAAAAATAAAATATGATAACAGATGGCGTTACCAAATATTCAGGAAAGTTAAGCAACTCGTTGCTGGATTTTTTCAACTGGTCTCTAGTGGCAAACCAGGAAACTTCATCGCTCAGCGATCTGTTTTACCTTCAGAATTCACTGTTCTAGATAATACATTAAAACATTAAATTGAGATATCATGAAATTGAATCAATTAATATGAGGATACTTATCTATACTGTTAAACTGATAATGATGATAATAGTAATTAATCAAAAACGTTTCTCATGTATGTCCAAATTAGCATTTTGAAATTTTTCTTCATTTTTTAAGTAGTCTATATTTTTAGTTTCAGATTATTAAACCAGATTAAATTTTTTAAAATTTCTAATAATTTTAATAGAAACTAAATTATTTCTGAGATTATTTTATTTTTACTCTTATATATTTCAAATCGTAAATAATCCCTGATAAACAACAAAAATTAAGCATTAGTGTATTGCAATTTATTAATAGTTTTTAAGTGATTTATTACTATAATACTGTGTTATTTCGAATATAAACCGCAGTAGCAGTTTAAAATTAGAAAATTTGAAAATAATAATAATTTTATATACTGTCAGGCCCGCCGTAAGCGGGCGTGCAAGGCGTGCACCGCACGCGGGCGGCACGTCCAGGGGGCGGCAAATCGAGCGATCAGTCACGTAATATTGAAAGTCATTGTCATAATACCCGCCCTACTTATAGCATAAGAAATGTCTTCGCGTGGAGAAAAAACTCTGACCGGCGCGCAATTACTATATTCTTATTTATATTATAGCGTTAACAGCGCCTCTATTGGCATTTATCAGAATTAAGTAAACAAAAGTAACTTAGTAATAATAAATAGTTTTTCTTTGTAATGTATTTATTTTCTTTTTTCACACCCTTATGAGACAACACTAAAGAGCCTTTCTGGCAACCTCGGCGTAGGTAGTCGTAGTTAAACAGGGGGCGGCATAATCGGTATTGCGCACGGGCGTTCAAACAGTTACCAGCGCCCCTGTATACTGTATATGATTTGCGTCAATTGCAAAGTATCTTTCTTTTTTAGGCCTCGAAAATGATTTTGTCTTTTTTACACTGAAATAACTTTTCCTTCATGGTTCTCCAACAACACAATATAACTTCTTTTGAATTCAGCACCATATGTAAACCGTTTTTCCATTATTAGCGAGTATGGGTAATAAAAAAATTTCAAATTCGATTCTACACAGCTGCTGTCAAACAATAACTGAATTAAATCAGAAAAGTGCGAACGGTGAACCAGCGAATTAACTACTATCGACGATCGTAAAAAACTGTGTCCATCGTAGAGCGTAAAGCAAAGACCCGATTGTTGGGAGAATGGGAAATCGGCAGAAATAAGTCAAAATATTCGATTTGAATTTAAGCCGCACCCAAATTTTACGTCTTAATTAAAAATTGGAACAAAAGGTGCGGCTTAAATTCGAAGTAATAAAGTAATAATTAAAAAACAGTTCTTATATGGAGTGAAATTATAAATTAAATGTTTATGACGAAGTTTACTCTCAAGACATTTAAAACTTTGGTCCTTCTTCATATAACAACCTGAATATGACCTGAGTACAATACCAATCTTTCAATGAATTTTTCATATTTAATATTTTATTCTCATTAAAATATTAAATACTAGCTGTGTTACCCGTCGTTGACGGGATATTTATTTGGTGAAATTATATTTACTTACCTAAAGAGTATATCTGCAGAGAATTGTGTTACAGATTCATTATATTCTTATTAACGGTGTGGAATATTTTCTAGATAAACTTATTGAATAACCTCCCGATATACAAAATTTCGTGTTTTATCATCAGGAGCACAGATGAACAGATTTGCAGCTACTAACACGGGAGCACGCAACATAAAGTTGGCCATGTGAAAAGCAACTGCATCCCAGGTCAAGTCCCACAACTCTCGGGCTTTGAAAAGAGCAATATCATAGCTAGAAAATCGCACATTTCCCCCCAAAAAAACAGACATCCAAAATTTTAATCGAAATATAGTGATTTTGACAATTTTGACAATTTTGACTTAGTGCAAGGTGTACAGAAATAGTAAAATAAATTCTTAAATATGACGTAAAATTATTTTATCGCATTCGTTTTGTATTTTTGATCATTTTGTATTTGTTATACTAACTCAGTGTAGTATAGACCAGCGGTTTCCCTAAATATGGAATTGAGATCCCAAGTGGATTACCAATTCTTATGTGGTTGTGTAAACACTTTTTCATAAACATTGCTCCTCTGCTTACATAGTATCTTGAAAAGTGTTATATATTTTTTGGGGGGGTTCTTTGACATCCAAAGAAAAAGTATATACAAACTCCATTGAAGAATATTGACAATCAACAACAATAAAAAAAAAATTAGTAGATTTCTATACATGAAAAACAAATTATCCAAATAGCAATAATTGTAAGAAAACGAAAATTGGAATCATCGGCAAAAAAATGTGGACAAATGACAAACACAACGGACATGCGGAAAGAACCATTGATAAGCGGACTGTCCACGCAAAACACGGACGGTTGAGAACTCTGTAGTAATGTATTAATACGATATTTTCGAGTTTATTTGATTAAAATGAAATTTTTAATGATTTTTTTAAAATATGCGACTGTATCCCTGAGAGGACTCGTTGACATGTATTATGATGACTATCTAGCCTTGAGATTCTCCAAGATGAAATATTTCGATGAAAGAACTGGATTAGCAAAATCACAGACAAGGAACTACAGTGCAGATTGGCCGAATCGGTGAAAACATGCGATCCAGATATGTTTTCGAACATTTTTGTGTTGCTCAAAGTTTATGCCACAAACCCACTACATCACGTGAATGCGAAAGGTCAGCCAGCATGTTGAGAAGTCTAAGCAACTATATGAGAGCTACAATAGCTGAATTTCGTCTTAGGTCACTGTAAACGGTCTTCGTTACATCAAAATGCTTATATTTCCATATCGTGCCAGCGTGGAACTACCTCAGGCAACATAATAGCACGATTTCTTGTATCACAATCACAATCAAGTGACTGCGCATGCTGTAGTTAGTAGCCTAAAATAGACGAAAAGTAGTCAAGTATTAATGTTTTCCTTTAAAAAATTTCAAAATCCAACAGGTAACTTAATTCCATATAAATAAATTACATATAGATGTTCACGCTTTAGTTTTTTTTTTAAAAATGGTATATGAAAAAAATCTATCTAAACTTTGACAATTACTGTATTTCATTAAACGGCCGGATGGCCGAGCGGTCAGGGTGGCAGCCCAGCGTACTGGGGGACCTGAGATCGTATTCGGACGGGTCAGGGAATTTTCGGAGGTTAGTTTGTTTGGTTATAAGAGACCCTCTTAGTGCCCACGGGGCGGAAAAAGCATAAAAAAAGTTATTTCATCAAATATCCCACCAAGCGAGTGTATTCGTTTATGCATTGCAGTTTGCTCGCTTTCCCAATTTAGATTATTTCCAGCTAAATGTACAGGATAGAAATTTTGTTTTTCTCATAAGGTGAATTCTAGCTTCTGCTCTCCTATTACCAGGAGGAAGAACTTTTTAGTAGCTACATATTTAGATATCGAAGATGATAATGAATTAAGCAAATTCCAAATGTGTACTGTACCTACAATATATATTTTTCTTCTGTTTTCATTTTGGATTGTAAATAAATTATTATTTATACATTAGTTATGTTTTATTATCCTTTATTTAACATCATCAAGATTTTCAATGAGCAAAATTAACTGTCAGAAAAAGAATTACATTTAAATTTTTCAACCGATATATGAAACTATCAATAGATTTCTCGATAAGTATCAATAACAGGACCATAGATAGTTATACGGTTGATATCCATCCTCATTCCGCTTACTCGGGCGGCATATAGATTGGATATATCGTTAAAAAAATGTTTTTGCCTACTGCTGACATTCGACTGAACATGGCGGCCCTAAAACATATGAAGCCGCAGTGGATTTACTGTACTAAATTGTTTCTTAGGATTAACAGAAATTGTAAATTTTTATATATTATTTTAATTTAATAATTTTAAAGCAAAATAAAAATTTAACACAGTTATTTATTTTTGTTGTTTTCTACCACAGAAAAAAAAAAAATAATACAGTAAAATGAAATCCAATTGAAACACAGGTGGTGCTGTAATTTAAATCTGTCAAAGAAGATGGCGGAAAACAGGGGGACGGTATGTTTACAATAATATGAAAGTTTCTTTTAATGTTACTAATAATTAATATTTTTAGAATTTTATGAAATGTTAGAGTATGAATTACTTGCTTCTCATATTCTACAGCATTAATTATATATTAACAAGTATTGAAGTTGATTATTTATATATTGCGTATGTATTTGGTGTTAGTAAATAATAATAATCACATGAAATGTTATGATGTAATTAAAGGAATTTTCGGTTATGTTAATTATTTTATTTATTCATGTATAGATTCGTTAATTTAATTCACATATGGATACATTTAAAGTATTTATATATGAAGGTAGAACTTACAATAGCATTTTGTTTGTATTTTATTTATACGAGATAAATATGGTAAACGCAAGGGATATTTTCAATTAGAAGTTAATGATAAATAGATGTAGCAAAAACAATGATTGATAAAGTATTATCTATTTTGATTTGAAGGAGAAAATTGTGTGTTTACATTGAAGTTTACAGAATATTGTTCAAGTTAAGTAATGGAAATGTATTTTTCTTTTATGATTTATTGCGTAATTTAAAAAATTCGGTAGGAACATGCTGTAGGTCACATCAGCAGATAACTGTGCAAATATTTTATTAATTTTAAATTTAATAGTGTAAATGATATATTTACTGGAATGACTAATAAATATTACTTTAAAACATTTATTACTAAATCAAATATTCAATACAGTATTAATACTAAATTTTTACACAAATTAAATTACTTTACAATTTAAATCGATTTTTAAGATATAATAATAAATTTTTTATTTAAAAATTTAATTATTTCTGTAAAAATCCAGCTATATGTGAAAATTTCTGTTTAGGATGATGGGGTAATGGCACTAGTAGTCAACTGTTTAAAGCTGTTTTGGACTTTAATATTTTTTTATTACGATGTATAATAACGTGAAAAGCAAAATTTATATATAAAGTTTATTTACTTATAAAGTAAATAACCTTACAATATAAATAACCTTACAATAATAAATTACAAACTTTATAAAGTATTATAAAGTTTGTTCTATACTTGTCATGGAAAAGAAAACATTTTAAGAAAACAAATGCAAACTTTGTTTACATTATGTAAAAAAATTAATTGATCACATGGCTGTTCATCCAGTACTTGACCAGGAAATTTCCAAGTCCAACCACTGATGATCCAATTGTCAACTAGTTAAGTCAACTGCAGTTTTTATCTGTATAAATTCAATTGGATAAGTGGGAGAACTTACACATACACACTTATGTGAATTATTGTTTATTTACATTACAAACATCACATATGAGCTGATTGTTGCAGCAACATCATAAGGGGTTCTTGCTATTGGTGAACATGCCAAATGGAACCATCTGCTGCAATAATTGCAACCAACATTTTTTAATTTGTCCATTTCTATGTCACTATCTAAACCCTCGACACAACTTGCACACTTTTGATTCTCAGTGATCCCATTCTATTTTGTGATGCAAGAACTATTCTGTGTTTACCCTTTCAGTCACTACATTTCTTGGAATATCTTTCAAATTTTTTTTCAGTTTCCATTTTCCTTCTCTTGTATTCTTGTTCTTCTCTTGTATCTGTTTTGCTTTTTTTTTTTTGCTTTCTTTTTCTAATATGAACTTTCTCCATGACTTGGAAGCAAAAGCACTTGGTTGATGTTCTTTTCATTCATATTTCTTTTTTTTGTAGTAATTGTTGTGGCCAATATAAATGATGAAGAAAGCCAGGTAGTATGTTTCCATGTATATGGAAACGTGTCTCCTGGCTTTCCATCTTGTATATGGAATTTCTGGAGATAGATTTCAGTCAGACTGGTTTGTTTCAGAATTTTCAGTGCTTCGTGCGGTTCTTATAGACATTTTTTGCCTCTAATTCCAGAAAGAATACCAGAGAATGTTTTCTCTGTATATTGATGTGCTTGGTGTTTTTGGATTTGCTTTTTACCTGTGGCATTTTTATGTTTTGACACCTATGAATTATACAACTATTAATTTTTTATTTACAATTTTTATGTTTGATTTTGATTGGCTTGACATTTAAATAATAAATACCCTGGAATAACAGGCATTGTGGCACAAAGCCTGTGTGCATCAGTGGTTGATTACTGATTATTCTGCACAACCAGCATAGTTGCATGATCATTTATGGTGATCAACAACTGCGTTTTCCTTCATCAAGAGCATCACAAATGTGGCCACTGTAAAAGGACACCTGACATGTGCATTTTCAGCCATGGACACATGTTGCAAAATAAGTCACAAACTCCAGTACTTGACCACTGCAATCAAATATGCAAATTTACAGAGTCAGCATACCTAGTAGTCGACAACCTCATTTTTTTTACATAGATCAGAATTGATGCAAATTACTAACTGTAACAGGTGCTTTGATAGTTTACCACCCAGAAAATCAATTAAGTGAGCTCAATAATAGGCATTTTGTAGAAAATACTCACCTGAAATACAGAACCTTCATTATCTTTTAAAGACTGAAAATACCATACATGGTCTACTTATTACCAAGGGTGTTGTGCAATAAATTTTCCATTTTTGTTAGTGAGGCAATCTGTTATACTTACATATTAAGAAAGGGATTCGTAAGAGAATCCCTTTCTTAATATCCTTCCTGTGTAGATAGCTTGCCTAAACCTATTCAGATGGACTAATTATACACTGATTTCAGCTTACGTTGTCAGCTATTGGAAGCAGTCGGCAATGGAGCTCCTACCCTATTTGCTTTCATTGGCTTTCCATGCCAATAAAAACAAATGAGTATTATGTATGTTGATGCAATCCTTCCTAATTGCTGTTTTATGTATCTCCAATATTGCCAAAACTTTCACCTCCTCCATGCTGAAATTCCTCCATGCTTATTATTAATGCTGTTTCTTCAAGTCTAGCTTTAATTTCTGGTTTAGAGGCATGTAATGATAATGCTGTGGTTTGTTTCTATATCATGTTTATTCCTTAATTCTGTTTTTAAACAACCATCATAACTCCTAATTAAACCAAATCATCCATCTCCTAATTAAACCAAATCATCCATCTTCCATCTCTTAATGGGATATGATAAATTCCAAGAGCTCTAGATGAATCTATATCATCATCATTATCTAAACAAAGATGAACACCTGAAATCAGCACAAATTAACTTAAAATACTACTTTTACTAATGTTTCATCTGTTTTTAATAGACATTTTTAGATACAATATATATAACACAGAACTAAATGAACAAATTAAAATTGAATATAATTTTTCAAACAAATTACAACTTCAGTTTAAAATTATTTTTCAAACATATTACAAATTTGGTTTAAAATCATATTTGTCTTTTAATAATCAAAAATGATTTTAAAGTAAATTTGAAATTTGTTCAAAAAATTGTATTTGATTTTAATTTGTTTGTTTAGTTCTGTGTTATATGTATTGTACTTGAAGATGCCAGTTACAAACAGAAGAAAAAATTAGTAAAAATACTATTTTGATTAATTTTTAATTTCAGTTGTAGCCTACCACTAATGTTGGACTTAAGGAGATTGTCACATCTGGATAGGGGTACATTGTTGTTCTCATATTTTACAAGTTTTTTCAAGTATGTACAGTACATACATACTAATGCCATTTTCTCTATGTGCTTGAGTTCTATCAATGTATCTTTTATATTGGTGCAATGTGTAAATGCTCTTTTAACTAAACCTCTAAAGGCCACCATTTTGTACACAAATAAGTCATCCAAATGAGCAAGTATAAATAACAGAATGTATTTATACTTGATTGATTCAAGATTTTGTACATCTTTCTAAGATTTAAATCATTTTGCTAATCCCTCCATGTTCAATAGTTTTGACATTTAGGGGGGTCAGAAAAGTTATTTTAATATGGTGATTACATATTCTTTTCTACTTTATATTTTTGCTTTCTTTATGCAAATTAGCTGATTTGCAAAAAAGTTTTCACTCAACATTGCAAGAGTGGGAAATATTTTTTGACATACTGTATGTTTATCACTATAATTACACTTTTCTTAGATATAAAAACTAGAAATAATTGCTATGTTTATTACTGACTATTAAACTTTTTGTTACAAAGAGACAACCTTTGAGCAGTTAGAAACTTTTAATATGAAGGAACACTTTTAGCTGTGTAAATGGCTATCTTTAGGTTCTATAGTTCAAACAAATATAAAATACAAATTTTGGAATACATGCAAGTACAGTTATAAAATATATATCAGCAGTATAGTAGAGCCTCGATTATCCGACCCCCTATCAACCGACCCCTCGGTTAACCGACCGTCCTAGTCGGCAAATTTCAAATGATGTGGCGCTACAATATTTGGCTATGTCTTGGCTACTTTAATATTATTTTTACGTGTTTTAGCTGACAACACTGGATCGACCATGAAAGGGAGCCAGTATTTAAATGAGGCTTAACTTTCTAATTTTTAATGATACAATAGAGATGATTATTATTTTAAAAAATTTTTGTTAGGCTTAACATACATTAATATGAAAATTCAACGCAAAGTAGGTTAATAGTGATATACTAATATACTAATTACATGGGATATAATAATATACTTTGCCAAATTTTATTAAAACCTGTTCAGCGGTTTACACGTAGAAAAGGTGACAGACAGACAGTATTACCTTCAAATTTATAATATTAGTATGAATTAATATGAATTTCTGCTGTAAGGGTATGCAAGTTTGAGCTCTTTCTTGAAGTGGTATGCAGGAAAAATTAATTGGGAACCACTGGCATAGAGGAATAGCATGCTCAAAAATTTGATTATTATTTTATTTTGTAATTCTGAAAAATGTGCAACCCAGAGAAATAATCATAAGACCTGGAGCCCAGAGATGAAATGCAAAAACTGTGGGATTCCAGGTTAAATCTGGAGAGCTGGTCACCCTATTAATGATATTAATGATTAAAGTTACTGTTTTTTCAAAAATTGTTGAGTGTTATGAATTTTA